GATACCACACTCTAGCCTCGGGCCTAAGTGTGGTTCTTGAAAATGACATATGCTGCTGGGGTGTCACGGTCCACTCGGTTCCTGGCCTGCAGCATTCTTCCAGTACTTCTTGCAATTTTTCTTGATCAGGGGTGGTCTTCCACTCATAGAACTCATCCACAACCTTTGGCAGATTATAGATTTTTTCGAATAGTGGCTGCACTAAATGGTACAGCCTTCCCTCTCACTTCCAGTTTAATGGCCTTCCTTGGGGCATGTTGGCATAGAACTCTCGGACGATGGGGAGTACACCATCTTGCTCATGTAGAAAAAAAGTCTTCCATTGGTGAGCCTCGATGATGACCAAAATGTAGGAAGGGTAGGCATTAGAGTCAAGAGATTCCTTGACAAAACCCTTGTCTGGTGATGGTGTCCGCTTGAGCATAATCTCATGCCATTGCATTGCTCGTTCGGTGGAGAAGGAGGGAACCGGTTCTGATTGAGAGATGCTCCCACTGGACCTTGCCCTAATTTTTCCACTTCGAGTGCTTGGGGTCTCCATTGCTCCACTCCAAACTCAGTTTGGTTGCCTCGGGTGAAAGAAAGAAAAAGAAGAGTAGGGGGACTCCAAACTCAAGCATTTGCTATGGCTTGAGTTTTGCAAGAACTTTTCTTGGAGATGAAGTTGGAACAGAAAGATTTTTACTCAGAAAATTAACAACACGATAATGGAGGTGGAAAAGATGGAACCTGGCTTTTATATTGGGGTGAAAATGCACAAGGGTCACAACGGTTCACTGTTGATGGCTGGGTGAATTGGACGGTGCTGCATCAGGATTCTGACAGCTGTGTCGTTTCATCCCTTCCTTGAATTTTCAACTGTTGCATTGTTACAGCATCAGTGTTGATGTGGCAGCCTCTGAAAATGTTACCGTTGGGCCTGCTGTACATCATGTTGGCTTCAATTGCTGCATCTGAATTGGGCCCAAAGCTTGCTTGGCCCGATTCTATATTCCAACCCAAATGCTGTGGGCTTGCCTGATTTCTCCCACGAACTTGTGCTGCAGCTTGGTTCCTGATTTTTATTTTTAATGGGTTTCAACACCATTTTTCTCCCTGCAAAAACTCTTAAAAAAATCAAAAAGAACATGAAACTAACTTCTCCTAATTCTAATAATTGAAAATGCAAAACTTAAAATTGTAATAATTTAAAATGCTAAAATTAAAATGCATGAATTTAAAAAAAAAACTTCCTAATTAAACTTTGGGCTGCCTCCCAAAAGCGCTTGTGTTATAGTCTTCAGCCTGACTTCTTCTTCATTAGGTTCAACTTGGCTCAGTCAAGGAGATAATGGTTGTCTCCTTAATATTTTGATCTCCCCAATAATGCTTCAGCCTCTGTCCATTAACCTTGAATTTGCTCCCATCTTTTTCATTCATAATTTCAATAGCTCCATAGGGATACACATGTGCAACCTTAAAAGGTCCTGTCCACCTTGATTTCAGCTTGCCTGGAAAGAGTTTGAGCCTTGAGTTGAATAGAAGAACTTGCTGACCTTGCTCAAATACCCTTGGCAGGATCTTGTTATCATGCCACTTCTTCATATTTTTCTTGTAAAGCTTGGCATTTTCATATGCATTCATTCTGAATTCTTCCAGTTCATTTAGCTGTAGCATTCTTTTCTGTCCAGCTGCTTGTTCTAACTCAACAAGTAGGTGGCATGCTTTGCCATAGACAATTATGTATGGGGATGCACCTAATGCTGTTTTGTAAGCAGTCCTATATGCCCATAATGAGTCATCCAATCTGAATGACCAATCCTTCCTTGAAGAATTTACCACCTTCTCCAAGATCCTCTTGATTTCTCTATTGGACACTTCAACTTGCGCACTGGTCTGAGGATGGTATGTTGTAGCAATCTTGTGCTTCACTCCATATTTGGCCAGAAGGTGTTCAAATTGCTTGCTGCAAAAATGACTTCGTTCATCATTTATGATTGCTCTTGGTGTGCCAAACCTTGTGAAGATATTCATTTTAAGGAACTTCCAAACCACTTTGGAGTCATTAGTGGGTAATGCTGCTGCTTCTACCCATTTAGAGACGTAGTCCACTGCCACCAAAATATATTGATTTCCAAATGAAGGTGGGAATGGTCCCATGAAATCTAGCCCCCAAACGTCAAATAGTTCAACTTCCAAGATAGGGTTGAGAGGCATTTCATGTCTCTTTGATACGTTTCCAGTTCTTTGGCACCTATCACAACTTGAAACAGAAGTGTGTGAGTCTTTAAATAAATAGGGCCAGTGATGTGCCTCTGGCAAATGTGGTTTTTCTATGTTAAAATTGATAAGAATTGAGTCATAAGAGAGCAATTTAAATAAATATTTGCTATTAATATTGATTCTTTTATGTCAATAATATTCACCTTTTGGTTGTGTTTTTACAGGAAAAAGAGGAGTGACAATTACAAATTATAAAAAGCCTGTTAACGCGACTCCATACACAGAAAGTTCCATGTTGCATCATGTCGTATAGGCCAAATTCCAGGAAAATAGCGCCACTTAGCGCCAAACTCATGCTAAGTGGCGCCAAGTAAAGTAAAAGTGGCGCAAACCAGCGCCCAAAATGACAAGAAAGTTGGCGCCAACTGGCGCCCAAAATACAAGGAGTTGGCGCCAACTGGCGCCAAGTCACGAGCATTCGGTTCCGGCTTTTCATTTTAAGACAGTAGCGCGGCGCGAAGTGGCGCCAAACCGACGCTGGGTTGCGGGAAAATAATACCGTGTTGCCGTGGGGGTATTTTTGGAAGGAAGAAAAGAGGATTATAAATAGGATCCATATGACAGAATTAGGTATTCAGACCTATTCTTCTGAAGAGAGACGAAGGCGGTGCTCAGAGAGGATTCCTGGGATCAAGTTCTTCTTCTCCTTTCTCCTTAATTTTATGCTTTTGAATATTGAATTATTTTTAGCCATGATTATGCTTGGCTAGTTATCTTTTATTGTAGTTAGGGTCACGAGCCCTATGTGAACCTTGTTACGATGGATTGATTTAGTTTTATTCATTTATATAATTATCTTTGTCTCTACCCTGTGCGTATTTTATATTTTCTTTATTAGAACTGATCAACCTGATAGTTGAGAATAGTTTGAGGGTTAGAACCCTAGATAGGAATATTGGGGTTTTGATCTTGAAAGGGGGTAGGATAACAATTAGTATGCATGCTAGGAATAGATGTGTATTTAATTACGGATGCTTAAATTATTGCGTTTATTGCTTAATACCATGAGGAACATTGCAAGGAATTGGGGTTCCAATTGGGGATTAAAAGGTTAACCTTGCAAGGAATTGAGGGTTAACTAATAAATATTCTTAGATAATAATTTATCCGAGTAATTATATGAATAAGTATTGTGAATCAATCCAAAGTAAGAAGTGGGGATCATAAGGTGAGTGCGCTCTAGCTACAATGCTTTCTTCATATTTTTAAAATCAATTCTCATTGTTATTGTTTTATTTCTCTTAAATAAAAATTCAAAAACAAGTCTTTACTTTTATTTCTTATTGTTACTCAAAATCAATTCGCAAATTTTCCAAACACCAATCCGAGTTTTCCAACTTAAGGGGACTGTTTATTGTAGTACTTGGTTTACAATCCCTGTGGAGACGATACTCTACTTACTTTCTATATTACTTGTGCGATCGGTATACTTGCCGGAGAGCATCAAGTTTTTGGCGCCATTGTCGGGGATTGTTAATTCCAATAATACAAATAACCGTTGATCTTTGAGATTGGATTTTTATTTTTATTTTATTTTGTTCTATCTTGTTTTGTGTTTGCAGGTGCTACTAACTATTTTTTTTTCTGAGTTTATGCGAGGTAGACTTGGTTCTACAGACTTTGTGATTGATCCTGAAATTGCAAGAACTGAGAAGAGACTGAGGAAAGTTGCCAAGCAGTTAATTCGGGAAGATTTCAATAGAGAACATGTACAACCAGTACAAGAGATGGCGGGTAACAACAATGCAAATAACCCACCTCCACGATTGTTGGACACCATTCTGACTCCGGTGTTCAATAGGCCAAATTCAAGTATAATCAGGCCGGAGGCAAACAATTTTGAGCTGAAGGCATCTTTGATTACATTGGTGGAAAGGGTTCAGTTTTCTGGTGCTGAGGAGGAAGATCCTCATGAGTTCATAGATCGATTTCTGATGATCTGTGACACTACCAAGCACAATGGAGTGTCTGCTGATGCTATCAGGCTTCGATTATTCCCTTTTGCTGTTAAGGGAAAAGCTCTCAGATGGATAAAAAGGCAGCCAGCTAATAGTATCACGACATGGGAAGACTTGTCATCAAAGTTCTTTGCCCATTTCTTTTCTATGGAAAAGTACAATCAGCTGGTGAATGAAATCACAAACTTCTGCAACTTGAAGGAGAATCACTGTGTGCAACCTGGAATAGATTCCAGTAACTTATCCGGAAGTGTCCGCACTATGAAGAAGACGATGACAGAAAGGTGGCAATCTTCTTTAATGGCATCTCTCCTGCATATTCTTCTGCTATAGCAACATTCAGTGGTTCTGCTTCTGTTTGCTGCTTAAGTTGCTGTAGCAATACTGCGTCAAGGGTGTCTATGCTAGCACATTCTTCCACTTGTTCAGGGTACTTCATGGCTTTGAGTACGTCGAATGTAACTTGCTCATTATTAACTCGCATGGTCAAGTCTCCCTTTTCAACATCAATTAGTGCTCGTCCAGTGGCTAAGAATGCTCTTCCCAATATGATGGGCACTTCCCTATCTGCTTCAAAGTCAAGAACAATAAAGTCAGCGGGAAAAATGAACTTATCCACTCTTACCAATACATCTTCTATTTTTCCTTCTGGATGAGTTATTGATCTATCAGCCATCAACAACGTGACAGTGGTTGGACGTATTTCTCCTATTCCAAGTTTCCTGAAAATACTCTTAGGCATAAGGTTAATACTTGAACCTAAATCTAGTAATGCATTGACTACGATTGGTTACCAATAGTACAAGGAATAGTAAAACTCCCTGGATCTTTTAGCTTTGGTGGTAACTTGTTGAGGTAGTATTGACTACTTTCTTGGGTGAGAGCTACTGTCTCATATTCCTCTAGCTTCCTCTTCTTTTCCAAGATGTCCTTCATGAATTTTGCATAACTTGGCATTTGCTCAAGGGCTTCAACCAAGGGTACATTAATGTGCAACTGTTTGAGGACATCAAGGAATTTCTTGTACTTCTTGTCATCGGTTTTCTTCTGTAATCTTTGAGGAAAGGGAGGTGGTGGTCTTGTTGCCTTGCTGACAGTCTGATCTTGCTGTGGCTTTGATGTAGCAATACTTTCAGTGCCAGCAACTTGAGGTTCTTTGGGTTGATCATTAGTTTCCCCCTCTTCAACAACTTTCTCTTCTTCAACCTGGCCCAATGCTTTCTGTTTCTACTCGTGGTAGTTCTTTATGACTTTTGGTTCATCTACAGCCTTACCACTCCGCAGTGATATAGCATTGACTTGCTCTGCTCCATTTTTCTTTAGGACTTCAGTGTTGCTTGGCAAGGTTCCTTGAGGTCTGCTTCTGAGTGCTTCTGCCAATTGACCTACTTGAGTCTCCAAATTCTTGATTGATGCAGCTTGATTATGAATTATAGCATCACTCCTTGTCATGTAATCTTTCATCATGCCTTCCAGCATACTTGATGTATCAGTGTGCTGTCTGGGTTGATGCTGCAGCTGCGTGAATCCAGGAGGGTATAGAGCTTTGTATGACCTTCCTGCTGTATCTGAGGACATTTGTTGTTGTCCTTGCTGATGTCCATGATGCTGTCCTTGTGAATAGGAAAGATTCGGGTGATTCCTCCATCCGGGATTATAGGTATTTGAATATGGATTGTTGTTCCGGTTGAAATTTCCTATAAAACATACAGATTGAGGGTCTTGTGGACAGTTATCATATATGTGGGGACCATTACAGAAAACACATAATATAGCATCAGTTAGGGCATTGACTGGTTTAGCTTCAGCAGACAGACTCAACGTCTTAATAGAGTTGTTAAGAGCTGAAATCTGTGCTGATAACGCTGATACAACATCCAATTCCCAAACTCCAGCAGCCTTTTTTTGTGTTAAACTTGATCTTTCTACTGGCCACTGATAGTTGTTGACTGCCATCCTCTCCAATATTGCATATGCTTCTGTATATGTTTTTTCTAATAGGGCTCCTCCAAATGATACATCGACCATGCTCTTTGTTGGTCCATTGAGCCCATTATAGAATGTCTCCATTTGAATCCATTCGGGAATGCCATGATTTGGGCATTTCCTCAACAGATCTTTGAATTTCTCCCAAGCCTCATAAAATGATTCGTCGTACAATTTCTTGAAGGTTGATATATCATTTCTGTATTAGGCTGCCTTCATAGGGGGAAAGAATTTCAATTAAAACTTATCTGCCAATTCCTCCCAACTTTAGATTGATTGTGGTTGTAAAGTATTCAACCATGCTTTAGCTTTGTTGGTGAGGGAATATGGGAACAACTTCATCTTTAGAGCATCGGATGTAACTCCTCTGATTTTGAAAGTGTCTTCTACATCCATAAAATTCATGAGGTGAAGGTGAGGGTCTTCACTAGGCATTCCATTGAATTGACCAATGGTCTGCAGCATGTTAAACATCACTGGCTTCAGCTCAAAATTCTCTGCTGCTACATCAGGTTGAACGATTCCAGAATGCAGATTGTTGAGCGTAGGAATTGCATGCGCTCTGATTGGAATCTCAGCCTGATTTGGACCTCCATTGTTATGTCCAGGTCCTTCCTCTTCACCGTTTTCCAACCTTGCGTCCATGTTAGGTGTTACTGCAGCATTGCTACGTCTCTGTTGTCTCCTTCATGCTTGAAACGTTCTTTCAATCTCAGGATCAAAATCTGCTTCTTGCTCTGATGAAGAACTGCTCATATGCTGCAATTAACACCTTGAAAACAGTGAGGGGAAAGGTAAAGGATGTAAAAAGAAATAAAATTCTTTACCGAAATAAAAATAACTTTGTACTTATCCCTGGCAACGGCACCAAAAACTTGTTGTGCAAATTTGTAATCAATTAAATCTTCGACACAAATACGCAAGTGCACGTGTCTCAAGTAATAAAGGGATATGTGAGTCCAAGTATCGTTCCCACGGAGATATGCATCAAGTTATGATTATTTAAATGAAGAAAGTGAGTAAAATGATTGATTGTGCTTGTTGGTTTGCTAAAATAAAAGACAATTAATAATAAGAGAGCAGTAAACTAAAATAATAGGTATTAAGATGATGGATGAGATATAGGTCATGGTCAATTTTCCTGATACAGTAATACTGATCTGATGCTTTAACGATGCTATATCAATGTTTAACTAGTAACCGAACGCTAAGGTATGCTGGGGCTTTTGGCCAACCTAACATATATACCCAATAACTAATTCCCACATCTCTATGGCCAAACTAATCACTGGATTGTTTAAGTTCAAGTTCTAGGCTATGTGGAATGAATGATCTCTCTACCCACAACTTAATCAAGTTATATTAACCTAATTAATCCACACAATTCAACAAGGGTCTGGATTCAGAAACCTCTCGGGCCTAACCTCCTCAATATGACTTATGTATCTCTCGACATGCAGACATGAATAAGATTAAGCAAACTCGTTGAATAACTAATTAAACATTAACATAAACAAAGTTTAGGCATACATCTCAATGTTACATCATAGGTACTTTATCACCTAACCTATGGAGCAAATTAGCTCATGATGGAATTAAATAAAACAGAGAAAAGAAAGGAAGACTTCATTGGAAAACAGAAAAGAAGTTGAAAACAATTGTTGTAGGAAGCCGTCATCACTGCCTTGCTCCAGCACTGCTCTTCCTCCTCCAAGGACCTCACTCTTTCTCTCTCTAAAACGTTCCTCCTTGCTTCTGACCTTCCCGAATCTTGAACCTCTTTGACTGTGTTTCGAACTATACTTTAACTCGTGGAGGAGCTCTTCTTAAATAGGAAAAATGGTTGGGCTTTGGGCTTTCGGATTTAAGAGTGGAGATTCATGAATTCGGTTGCTGTAGCCTTATCATATCCTTGATTCTTTGGTTGTTGGCACTTATTGGATAAGATCTTGATCTTCTTGGATTTCTTGTGCCAATTTGTTGTTTGACCGAGTATGAGTTGTTATCCTTGTTCTTTGGGATTTTTGGGATAAGACTCTTTCTTTGAATATCGTCCTTGATCCTTGTGATTTTGGGATAAGAGTAAATCTTCAGAAGCTTCTCTTGCTTGTTGGTGTATTGTTGGGGAATAACTAACTTTTGAATTTCAAAAGTTAGTTTGTTCCTTTGTCTACGCTGTCACGTTGTAGTGCTTGTTATATCATTACTTCGTCAGCTTCTCTGCTACTGCATTCCTACATCAATTTTCCCTGTAAAGACAAACACTCAAGAAGTCATCTTTTCTTACACGATATCAAGGATCATTGCCTTAATTTCCATACTTAGTCATCTCAAAGCATTCAATCATGAATATGCAATAATTAACTCAATTAACATGCAAAGAGGTCAACTTATATGGAATTTATGCAGCAGATTCATCATAAAAATAGCAAATTAACTCTCATTTGTGAGAGTTATCAGTAAGCAGTAAGTTGATCTATCAGACAATGCTTTGGTGTGACAATCTAGTGCACTTATCTCATTGTGTCTGTTGCTGTTATTTGATTTGAACTTGTTGTATCCATTATTCTGAGGAGAGGAGATAGTTTCAGCAGCTCAGCAAATCTAAGCAAGACCTTTTGGAACATCGTGCAAAGGCTCATGGCATTGATGTCAAGACTATATATCTATCTACATACCTTGATTCTTTTAGGTATTATTTATCATCGCTTTCTCTTCTTGTGTTCATTGTTTCTTTTTTTTTATCTGTTTTTGGCCCCCTCTTACTTAGCTCTGACCATTAAATTATTTTAGGTTAAAAAAATTATTATAATAAATGTTTCAGTGGCAGAGCCAACATTTAATTTTAGCCGGGGCAAAAAAATTTGACATATCAAAATATTTTTGTAATTATATAAATCTATTAGGAAAAAAATTTACTTAAAATTTTTAAAGTTATAGGATTGATGTTATTTTAAAAATAAAAAATATTATTTAAAATTTAAATATAATATAAAATTAAATTAGTAAAGAAAGTCAAATTATATGTATATATACATATATGAAATTTTCATGTGAATTTTATTAACATTTTCATGTGATCTTCATGAACATTATTTCATGTGATGTTAATGAAAATTTATTTCATGTGATCTTTGTGAATAATTTTTTTTATCTTTGATATTTTAATTTGGTTTGGGCCTATAAACTTTAGTTTGCAACTTGATAGGTGTTAGCACTAAATTATAAATATATTTATTGTATTATTTTATGTTGTTTTAAATTTCTTTGGGTTGACAATTACAGGAAATTGGGCCAAAAGAGGATTAAAATGGCCTATGTAAAAAAGGGAAGGTAAAAAAATAGAAGGAGAAGTGTTTGGCATGTATTCTAACACATTTTATTCTATTTTTACTTTCAGCTCAAACAATTACAGCAGCCACGTGGATCAAATATTTTGGAAGAGGAAACAATTCAGAACCATTGGATGAAAAAGAAGATGGACGGCTATTAGCTTTTAGGATCTTTTAGTTTTTAGTTAATTTGTATGGGATGTAAAGATTAGACCAGAGATCAGATTTTTAGATTGAGATTTTCTTCAATGTTCGTTACTGTTTTTAGAAGACTTTGTGTGTGTTCTTCACTTCTTGAGCTCTTTAAGATTCCTAATTTCAAGCATTTACAACGCTGTGGAAGAAAGGATTGAGGAAGTGAATGCAAGTGAAGGTTCAAGATCCTAGCTCTAGTTTAGGAAATGGTACTCTGTTTGTACGATTTACTCTGATGTTAATTCTGAATGCAAGTTTTCTTTTTCTTTAATATTTGATTTGCTGTTTTTGAGAATGGATTTCTAGTTTCTTTTCTTTTTCTGGGTTTGTCAAAATGATTAGATGGAATTTTTGGTGTGCATTGTTACTGTTTCTTTATCTCATTTGTTTGATTCTTTTATCTTTTTAACTCAAGAAGTCCATAGGAATGAGACTTGAGTATTTCAACAAAAAGAAATTGGAAAATGGATTTTTGTTAAGTGTTAAATGAAACGTTTTGATTAGGAATAATCAAAGGTGATTTCTGATTTAAATTCCTACAAAGATTCAAGAAGCTTTGTAAAAAGTTCTTCTTGAACCTTATTGTTGAATCTGGAAAGTTTTAGCTAAACCTGTCGTAGTAACTCAAAATCTGAGATAAACATGTTGTAGGAATGTACGAATTTGCAGTAATGCAATTATTTTTGTCATCCATGATTTGAGAAATACCTAGAAAGCCTTTTAACATTGATAAATCATTTCTTTACTTTTAGATCAGTTTTAATACTTGATAAAGACAAAAAAAATCTTGTTCTAAAACCAATTAAATTTCAATTCAAGAATCTTTAATTCAGAAAAATACCAAGAAAAATACTTCAACTTGTTCCCTGAGAATGATAACTCTTTCTTGTGAAAAATTACTACCAACAAAATGGCACCGTTGCCGAGGAACGATGTTTGATATTATTTTTTTCTTTTTGTGATTCTGTTTTCGAATTCTTAATTTTTTTTTTTACATATTTTTCTTGTTATATGCTGACTCCAATTTCAAGTTCTTGATAGATTCTTGCAGAATTCAATTCTGATTGCAGTAACCAGTAGTATTACATTTTTGTTGCTGAATTCTTGAAGATGTCAGAATCGAACCATGGATCTGTTAATGGAGAAAACATCAATGGTAATGGGAATGGCAACCATGCTCTAGTTATGCTGGATGAAGAGCTTCCCATTGCTGAATATGTTATTCCATGACTTGATGGAGTGATTCCTGGCCTAGTCCAGCCAGGAGTGGAAGGGAACTTTGATCTCAAACCAGGAAAAATATAGTTGCTGCAATCCATGACTCAATATCATGGATTACCTAAGGAAGACCACAAGCATATCACAAAATTCATGAAAATCTCCGACACCTTTTCTGTTCATGGAGTATCCACAAACGCTTTGAGGATAAGGCTATTTCCTTTTTCTCTAGATGGGGCAGCTGAAGAATAGGTTGAAGATCTTCCTGCACAGTCCATCACCACGTTGAAGGAGCATGGGGAAGCCTTCCTTATGCAATTTTTCCCACCCACAAAGGTT